TATTTTTGCCAGTTGAAATGGTCCACTGGAGACCATACAGTCATGACCATAGTTTGATTCTGCCATCTACTGGTGTGTGTCACTGTGTGAACAGCAACAACAATAACAAAATGCTTAAATTGACATAATTTCCGATGGATAATGTTTAATGTTTGTTTTTTAATTAATTAATTTGCTTGTTAGTTTGTTTTCATTTACATATTGAGAGGTTAATAGTTTTACTTGTAGATTGGTTGGGAGGAATATTACATTGTAAAGCTCTATAAACAGCATGTATAACATTCTCATTTACCTCAGAATATGTATGAATGTATGCATACATACATTCATTACAACTATTCTCAGATGCTGTCAATAGATCTCATGATGTATATAAACCAGGCACATGCCTTTAACAGTATCTGGTCCTAACACAGCCTTGGATTTCTCACTTTTATTTTCTCTCTTTCATTGGGGAGAGAGTCTGTGTATATAATTTGTATTGCTCCCCGGTTGTGCGTGTTATATTCAACCTCTCTCAGCGACCTTGCTGCTGTTGACTGCGTAGCTAATCTCTCTTTTTCGAAGCCTGAAGGCTTGCTATGGTGATCTCTTTGTTATGTGAGGTGATTTTAAACTGTAAACATATGGAATAGACATGTAGGAATTGCCCTTTTGTAGTATTTATTATTTAACATCAGTTCAAATATTAAATAAGTGAATACCCTCTGGGTACTTAAATCTTTTTGTTTTAGCCTGATTTGAATTGCATTTTTTAAAAGAACAGTTCATCAAAAAAAAAAAAAATCTTGTGAAAAATGTTTTGCAAAATGTTTGCATGCCTCCTTTTACTTTCATTATATGGGAAAAGAACAGCTTGAAATTTCTGCCAAATTTATTGTGTGTTCTGTGCATGAAAAAAGGGAGACCATTAGGAATAGTACATGACAGAGTAAATGACTTCAACATTTGGTAAACTGGTTTATTTATTGTATCATAGTCTCCCAACAAGCCTACAACACCTCAGGAGAAAATTTGTCCCCTCACAAGTTTAGACAATCCACAGAGCCCTTTCTACGACCCAGAAGGTGGCGCAATCACTCCTGTGGCCAGAGTTGCCGTGGAGAGAATTGCCCGAAAGGTCTGTTTCTTTGCTTGTCTTAGAAAAATTCCATTTCAAAATAAAATGTTAGCTGTTGCGTTTTTAGCTTTTATTATTGTGCAAAACAGTTCTGCATTATTTATGTCATACAAGTATATAAACTGAGAGCTAAAATAACTTGACAACAACAGATTTTTACATATTTATGAACCCAGCATGTCACAACAGTGCCCTGGAAGTATTGAAAGTCATCCATCCTCGATTGGGAGAGAGTGAGATTACTGTATGAGAATTAGGTGGAACACAGGAAAAAGTATAACCCATGTCAGCTGTTTGTTTTAAATCAGATGGTAAGAGTGAATGAAATCCCATCGCTGTGTAGAAGAAAATGATTAAATGAGGGACATCATTTAAAGTCCATTTGAAAGTTTGAGTTGTTTTCTGATGTCTGCAGGGTGAGCAGTGCAACATTGTGCCTGATAATGTGGACGACATTGTGGCTGACATTGCCCAAGAGGAAAAAGAAGAAGGTTTGCATCTCTTTATCTTTTCATCAAAGTCGACCTTGAGAAAGAGAGAGAGAGAGAGAGAGATTGTATATTGTGTATTGCATCTGACCTCAGTGTGTTTCCCTACTTTCTACCACAGTGACCCTCAGCATGTGTGTGTGTTTATATGTTAAACACTGTGGTATGAAATGTTCACACGTGTTCTAATTTGTTACACTGTTTATTTAAGTTTAAATTGTTATAATGTTCTTCTATTATTTTGATCGTTTCATTGTTATTATATTTCACCACATATATTCCAAGCTTTGGCAATATTGTATTTTTTTTTTTACAGTCATGCCAATAAAGCAATTATGAATTTAACTGAATTGAGAGAGAGAGAGAGAATGAGACTTTTAACTATTCAATATCTTAAACTCCTCCAGTCCAACCAAGATGATAACTGTATTCTTGAAAGGTTATGCTAGGCTAATATAAGAGACTTATATAAAACATGATAACATTAAGTGTTTTTTCCATTAAGTACCAGCTTTGTCTTTGGTGTTATTCTAAAATTTTAAACTCCATCATTTCATCCAAATGATAGCTGATTAATTTAGAGACTGTGCATTTAATTTTAATATCAAACTAGTTTCCAAATTGCTGTTCTTCAGGTTCTTCCATAAGATGTTAGATGAAGAATCACATTTGTATGACAGAACAGTTTAGGTGAACCTAATAGAAGCTGTTTAGAAATTCTTCAGAGAAATAACAATAGTAACACATAAGAATACACAATAACCACAAGAATGCTTGTTTCCTTTCAGATTAGAGAGAGATTAGATTGTGCCCAGCTCCTTGGCTGTACATTTTTTGTTGAATCAGAATTATAATATTCTATAATATTCACACCTTTCAGGTGTGACAATTGTCTGTAGCCAATATAGAATCATGCAAATACATTGGCTGATGGTGCTAATAGCACCCTCCGAGGCACCATTACACCAGTACCATCACTCCTCAGATTTCTACAAAAGGAAGTTGTAGCAGTAACAAAAAAGTATGGCAGAATAATGCAGTGTCTCATTCCCTACACCAGGGTGAACTAGGGTTACATACATAACCGAGATGTTCCCTTTAATAGGTTAACGCGACTGAGTGCCAGTTTGTCAGCCCATGAAAACATTTGCACAGAAAAATATCAGGTGTTCGGAGAGACTGAACATGCAGCCACACAAATATTTGTCAAAGACGCACGCAAAGATATTGCCTAAAAAGAAGCAGTAATTCTAGTAGAGTGAGCTTAAATATCAGGTGAGACTGAACATGCAGCCACACAAATATTTGTCAAAGACGCACGCAAAGATATTGCCTAATGCCTAACGCGGAGAGACTGAACATGCAGCCACACAAATATTTGTCAAAGACGCACGCAAAGATATTGCCTAAAAGGAAGCAGTAATTCTAGTAGAGTGAGCTTAAATATCAAGGGGCAGAGATAACCCATGTGCAATAGATTCCATCCAAAGGAACACAATGTCAAAAACTGGGGCTGTTTAACAGTTTTTGATAGGATCTGTGCGTAACCCTTATTGTGTGGTGATGAGCCCAACGGGGATGAATTCCTCAACTGCTGAACCATCACTGAAACAGTGTCTTCTGAAGCAGGCCCAGAGGTAACCACCGTTGAAGTCCCTGCCATGAGACTCACAAGCCTATGAACAGACCTACATGAATGCCTTGCCCTGCTCTGAATCAATTCTGGCAAAGGCAAAAATGCAGTAGACAATAGCTCTTGCATTGTGCCTGAGTTCAGTTCCACCCCTAGGAATGTGGTCTATTGCCTCATCCACAAAACTCTTCTTAAAGTTTATTTTCAGGTCTAACTCTACAGGTAATCAAGAACAAGTGAGTTGCTGAAACACAATACAACTCTGAAGATAGCTCCGAAAACAGTCTTTCTGCAGATGAGAAATCTGAGGAGCAATAGGGCTCAGATGGCTACATTAGCACCATCAGTCATTGAATTAGCATAATTATATACAGGCACCAGAGAATCATCACACCTGAAGAGAGTGTGTGCATAGCATCAGTTACTGATGCAGTGCTGAGTGACCTATGAAATGCAACATCTTTATGTGGCAATCAGCAACAGCATATGTTGAAGCGGAGCTCATTATGTTTGCGGTTATCGCCGATGAAATTGTCTTGGGTGAATTTAATGTAAAAGAGTTCATATCGAACCACATCTCTTTGAGCACATTTCTCCTCTGAAAATACAGAAGAGACACATGTAAGATTATTGTGGTCTTTTTCTGAGATTTAACCAAAAGTTGCTCTTTGTACTCCACTTAATCTCACTGATGTTTATTATAAACAACAACAAAAAAGATCCCAGTAGTGATTTTTCTGTCTTATAGGCACTCCCTTTATGAGATTTCATAATGCTTATAGACAAAAGCTTTTCATCCCCCCACGTCTTTTTATTTTCTGTTTTGTCAGATGATACTCCAGAGACATGTATCTACTCCAACTGGTCTCCGTGGTCTGCGTGCAGCTCCTCGACGTGTGAGAAGGGGAAGAGGATGAGGCAGAGGATGCTGAAGGCACAGCTGGATCTTAGCGTGCCCTGTCCACATACTCAAGACTTTGAGCCCTGCATGGGGCCTGGCTGCAGTGATGAGGGTCAGAATCAAACACACACAAAATCAGGGTTTCAGTCCCAGATGTAAAGGAACATTGAAGTTATTGTCATTCATATTGATATTATCTCTGTTTAAAACTGTAGTGAGACAGCTGCCTTCTAAGGGGCCGTCCACACAGAAAGTGTTCTAGTATTCAAAAACAGCAGGATAGGATCCAATGGATTTTTTTTCAAACTTCAAAATAATTTAACTTGATTTTAGCTTTAAAAACAAAATGTGTTCTTGCTTTGTGGAAGCACTATTTTTTTATGTTAGTCTATGTACATCGATAGGTGTCTTTGCTACGTCCTGTCTTGTTATTTATGTATGTACAGTATTTATTTATTTACAGCATATCTCACATGAGGTCAGTGCCACCTTCTGGTCAGAAAATATAATGACATTTCTAAAAGTGCTTGTAACTTGGGGGGGGGGGGGGGGATACGCAGCATTTATTATCAGCATTTCTCTCAACTTTGTTGGTCATTTTGAAACTATTGTTTTTCCACATATTTATTTATTTTAAGTTTGTTGCAGTAATACATTTTGGGATTTCCAAGACCATAAAGGATATAAATTTGGTTCTTATGAGGTAGATTGTTTTTATTTATTTTACTGTTTTCCCTGTAGCAGATGTATTCATTCATTCATTCTTTGTTTGTTTGTTTGTTTTTTTTAATTTTGTTTGTTTGTTTGTTTGTTTTTCATATGTTGATCAGCTTATGCTGTTTATAACTGGTCTGAGAATGTAACCTAACATCCTGCAAGGACACAATTAACCAATCATACGACAGCATATCATTTCATGGTGAGCTAACCTTTACCCACATTTTTTGTGCACACCAAGAGCTTTATTGATCAGACATCTTGGGGCACCATGCCTTGACCAGGAACATTTTAAAAATACCCTAAAGCAATGATAACTAGACATTTTTATCAGGTGACAGAATCTATGCATCATTCCTGGGTAAGGCTGCATCTCACTTCTCTATGGGCAGTGCTATTGATTTCCACTCAGAGACATTAAAAGGTCAAAGCAGCTTCTGCATAGTTTTTATTGCCAGAGTGGAAATCGATAAAAATGCATAGCTCATTTGTATTATTGCTAATAAAACATATTAAACGTATATATGGTAATGAGTAACATAGCAAAGAAAAAAAAATGTGCATGTTGGATAAGGAGCTGTTTTTATAATGTGTTAAAAACTTAAAAAATTAAAATAAGGTTATATATGAATTAGGACGTCCCTTTAATACTTTAAATAAAACATTCCATCTAATGCAAACCATACGTTAGTGGGTGGACAGGTGGGTGGATTTTCCATAGTGTTTGATGAGGTGTTACCATCCATTATCGATTGATTATCATGCGATGGAGATTATATAGAGGCGGCCTCCAGGATATCATATTTATGATTAAATAAGCCATGTTTTATCAAGCAGAACAAATGCCAGTAATTTGAGAGAAGAGGGAAGTCCAGGCTTTGCACCATAAAAGTTTAATCTTGCCCATCTGACTATAACTAATTAAGTATTACTAGCATTAATATTAGCAATTATTTATGGTGGCATTGTATATTATTGCCTGCAGAAAGGGTTAATTTTTTGATTAAGCTTTAGAGTAGGCATTCTTAATTAATGCATATTAGGACATTTAAAATAGTTTAGAAAAGCTAAATTGGTTTAAGAAAAAAAAAGAAAATTCCCATGAACTGCTGGTAAATAGTCAATGTGGTATCTGTATTTTAAAACATAGTGACTAGACCTCAATAAACCAACTACCGTGTTCAGTGGTATGATGATGCGATTGTTCTAATAGGGCTCTTGACTAAGACATTCTACCAACTTTGCCAAGCTCCTTAATTACCTAAACCAGCTTGAACTAGCTAGAAACCAGCTACCATGTTCAAAAAATTATTTTGCCCAATATTATGATGAAATTGTTCTAGTAGGGCCCTTGACCAAGATGCCCTGGAAACCATCTACTATGTTCTAGAACAGTGATTCCCAACCACGTTCCTGGAGCCCCCTCAGTGTCTCGTTCCACTGCGTCCTCTAGCGGTCGCTATGGGAAACGCCTTCAGCATGACCAGTGTCTGAAGCAAATGTCTAAACACAACAATAACACTGGCTGGCGACAGCCTATGACAGGGGTCTGAAACCTTCAACATCAAAAGAGCCATTTTGGCCCCTTTCCCACCGAATAAAATTCACGTGGAACCACAAAACCTATTTAATCCCTAAAATGAAGATAACACAGCATATAGCAAAGTTTTATATTCAGTTATGTTACAAGGCAGGGGAGTAGCAATCATTTCAGAAGTGAGGGAGCAGAAATGTCAAATGTAATAATAATAATAATAATAATAATTATAATAACTTGACTCTCAGAAATGAGAGGGGAACTCAGACGCTCACCTTGGGAGCGGCGTGCTCATAGGCGACCCTCTAGATTGAGGGGGGCACTGCTAAGCTCAACCATAAGAGCAGCCTAACAGGGAGGCTAAATATGGCCTAACAACCTAGATAGATCACTCACAGAGCTCCGGGGAGCAGAGTAATTGGTTCTCGGATCGAGAAGAGAACTCACATGTTGTGTCCGGGAGCGGCAGGCTCATAGGTGACCCTCCCGCAGTGAGGGGAGCACTGCCAAGCTCCAATAGGCAGCCTTGACTGCACGTAGAGCTCCGGGAGTGGAGTCCTAGGCGCTCAGATCAAGAAAAGAGCTCACATGTTTGCTCTGGGAGCAGCAGGCTCATAGAAAACCCTCCCGCAGTGAGGGGAGCACTGCCAAGCTCAACCATAAGCAGTGGCTATATACAGAGCCCTGAGAGCAGAGTACTTGCTTTTCAAATCGACAAGGGAACTCACATGCTCAACTTGGGAGCAGCAGGCTCATAGGCAACAAAGGCAACCATAGGCTACCATAGGCTCATAGGCAACCCAAAGCCTTTCATGCACATGATTAGGGCTCCTCAGAGTGAGTACTCAATAATAGGACTTCATAATGAAGGGAGTACCATCACACTGAGTGGAGTTACTCAATGACAGGAGAACTCAAGCTCAGTACATGTGCAGAATGGTCACAGGGAGCTTAGATCTCAAGGAGCCCCTCACGGCAAGATATGAATTAGCTCACCAGGGTCCTCATTTATAAAATGTGCACAGATTTGATCTTAGAGTGTGCGTACACTAAAATCCACGGCAACGTTCATATTTATAAAAACGGTCTTTGACGTGGTAAAGTACTTATCGCCACGTCAGGGTCTTAGCAGGCGTACACACTTTTCCTTGCGGCAAAGTTGGAGTACTGCAGCTATTTGAACATCTAAGCTGCAATAATAATTAAAGCGGTGTACGTGCAAGTACCGAATACATCATAAACAACAAAGATGCAGTGTAAGAGATTAATTGTGTAGTGTAGTCAGATTTTTTTATTAATGGGAGTTTTTGCGAGATTAAACGGACCTTTTTAGTAGCCTAATGTTGAGAATTCTTTACTCGCTTTCTGTACACAGTTTATTCCATGTTGTTGTTTTTTATTATTTTATTTTACAAGCGAACTTGCAAAGTCTCGATTGAATACCAATGCGTAAAATAGAAAAAAAAATGCATAAACGCATCTCCGACTGTTCCCCTTCAGGAACTCGAGCTGCGTCGAAATGCTACGGGAACGCCTCCAGCGTGACCACGCTCTGAATCACATGTGTAATCAGTCCAATGGATGGGCGAGACGTCACGGGCGGGGTGATGTAGCGACCAGGAAGCATAAAAGCACGTGTGGTGAAACCGGCGTCAGCTTTCTGTCATTCAGCAAGCGCTTTGTGTGTGTCAGTCTTATTTGGTGTTGTCTGTCCATTATCACTCTTTATTTTACCAATACGAGTGTAGACAAACATACGGCGAGAGCCGGCAGCATCTCATGCTCAGTTTGTGTGTTGTCTGCTTGGGAGCAAAACACGTAGAGTCAGCTGACTGTTCGCATTGCGAGCGTTTGTCACTGCGTATGCGTGCTCTCCGAGGGCTCTCTTTGAGGAGGGAGTCTTCACCGGCGTTTCTCGCGGCGCCAGCCACGCTTTTGCCGAGGCGGAGCGGCGGCTGTGCTCGTGGGTTTCGCATATGGATCCGGTGGAGGGAATGTAGAC